ATACCATGTTTCATAACTAGACTACATCTATTAAGAGCCTAAAAACATAAATAGGATAGCTAGCTATTTTTCTTAATACCAGACCCCAAGGCACTTTACCTAATAACACCAAAGGTAACGTTAAGAGAGAGAGGAAAAAGCAACGCAAGGCAATCACCCTTAGGAGTGGTAAGTAGTTAGCTAGTGACCCTATTTAGGTTGTACCTATAGATATAGTATAGGAGTCTGAGGATGAAAAAGAGGATGTCATAGTTTAGAAGGAAAGAAAAAGGCAAGAAGGTTGATAAGATAATTGTACCTATCCAGACACCTACTCAAATTTTAGTACTTAGTTCTTCTAGGCCTTCTCCATCGAAAATTAAGTCATCTAGGCCTTATATTCTTTTTCTTCAAAGATTCCAATAGTAGAAAGAAGAGAAGCAATTTTTTAAGTTTTTAAAAGTGTTTTTTGCTAAGGCTTTGTATGATTTAGGTGCCAATATTAATTTGATGCCCTAGTCAATCTTAAATAAACAAGACATAAGAAAAGCAAAACCCATTTCTGGGACTCTATAATTGGCTGATTGTTTACTGAAATACCCAAAAAGGATAGTAGATGATGTACTAGTTAGGGTAAAAAAATTCATTTTTCTTGCTGATTTTGTAGTTTTAGACATGGAGGTTGATCATGAAATCCCAATCATTTTATAGATACCTTTCTTAGCTACTAATAGAGTTATCATAGTTGTATAAAAAAGATAGTTGACTATGAGAGTCTAGGATCTAAAGGTCATATTTAATGTTTTTAAAGCTTTGAAGTATCTTGATGATTTTGATAAGTGTTCTAGGATAGAGGTGTTTAGCAGCATAGTGGATGATGTTTTTTAGATTGTGCATCTGATTTCTCACCTAAAGAAACCTCTCGAGGTCAATGATGTAGTAGACATAAATTTAGATAATGATGATGATAAAGATATAGTCATGGTCTCTACATTTCAATTTGCACCTACCAATAATGAGCCTTTAGATGTTTTGGAGTCTATCCTTAAAGTGCTAAAATCCACCTTTGTAGAGCCACTAATTTTAGAGCTTAAACTATTACCCTTACAACTTAGGTATGCCTACCTAGGAGAGGATGATCCTTTGCTTGTGATCATTATACCTTCCTTCATTGATGATCAAAAGGCCCATTTGTTATCTATTTTGAAATAGCATAAGTTAGCTATAAGGTGGTCCATAGTTGATATTAGAAAAATTAGTCCATCTTTTTGCACACATAAAATTCTAATAGAGGATAGATATAAACCAACCATAGAGCTTCAATGTCATCTGAATCTAGCCTTGAAAGAAGTTGTTACGAAAGGAATCATTAAATGGCTTGACGTGAGAATCATATATCCAATCTTGGATAGCTCATAAGTTAGTCCAATCCAATGTATGCCAAAAAAAGGTGGGATGACTTTAGCGTCGAATGAAAATAATAAGTTGATACCCATTAGGATTGTGATTGGATGAAAAGTTTGCACTTCATTGATCAGATGTTGGATAGGCTATCCAAACATGAGTTTTATAGCTTTCTTGATGGATATTTTGAGTATAATCAAATATTTATAGCATCTAAGAATCACGAGAAAATGACTTTTACATATCCTTTTGGAACCTTTGCCTTAAAGAGAATGCCATTTAGACTATGTAATGCCTTAACTACATTTCAAAGATGTATGATGGCTATATTTTCTAGCATGGTATTGGATTTCTTAGAGGTTTCAATGGATGATTTCTCTATATGTTATAGCTTTGAGATGTCTCTTACTCATCTAACTCTAATTTTAAATATGTGCGAAGAGACAAACTTAATACTTAATTGAGAAATGTGTCATTTCATGTGAGAAAAGAGACAGTACTAGGTCATAAGGTTTGTTTTACCAGAAAATAGTGGATAGAGTTAAGATTGAGACCATAGAGAGACTTCTACCTCCAACTTTAATTAAAGGTACTATGAGTTTTCTTGGACATGTAGGGTTTTATAGGAGGTTTATTAAGAATTTTTTCAAGATCTCTAAACCTTATGCAAGTTGTTGGAAAAGAAGGTGAAGCTTTATTTTGATGATGAATGCATGCATGCTTTCAAGGTGATTAAAGAAAAGCTAATTACTACTCCAGTCATTGTAGCACCTAATTGGGATTTACCATTTAAGCTTCTATGATGCTAGTGACTATACAGTAGAAGATGTTTTAGGGTAAAAGATAGGAAAGCAATTTCATGCAATATATTATCCAAACAAAACTTTGAACAAAGCTTAATTAAACTATACAACTATTGAGAAAGAGTTGTTAGCGTTTATCTTTACTTTTGATAAATTTTGCTCTTATCTCATTGGTTTTAAAGTCATAGTTTACACTAATCATGTTGCTATTAGGTTTCTCATGTCTAACAAAGATGCGAAGCCTAGGTTGATTAGGTGGATTCTCCTACTTCTAAAATTTGATTTAGAAATTAAGCAAGGATCATAAATCTATATGGTTGATCATCTTTCTAGGTTAGACAATGGCAATACCGATAGTGATTTGAGCATTAATGAGAGTTTTCCTGATAATCAGTTGATGGCATTTAGGCATGATGTGTTGCCTTGGTATGCCAATCGATCCATTTGAAAACCAATCAGTTCATTTTTAGAGAGGATTGATCCATTTTGGTAGTTTTGAAATCAATTTGCGTTATGTGTAGAAAACCAATCGATCTTTTTTTATAAGGTATCAATCCATTTTGGTAGCCTTAAAACCAATCAATCCATTATAAAAAAGGATAGATCTATTTTCATAATTTTCAAATTTAAGACCATTCTATATAAAAAATCAATCAATTCATTTTTAGGGGATCAATCCATTTTTTGAAAACTAATCAAACCATTTTTAAATGGATTGATCCATTTTAGATTTTTACCATAACTTCTAGTTTCTATGCAAAGAGAATCGATCCTACCCACAAGGGAATTGATCATTCCCAAATTTGTATAAAACATGTTTTCAATTAGGAAAGAAGCTTGTTTTTTCGTCTTAAATCATTTTTCATTTGAAAATTTATTGGCAAAAAAATTTTTTTTTTTAATTCAAAGCATTTTTCCAAGATATTTTCACTTGAAATATCACTTTAAAAAATATATTATTTATTTAATATCAAAAAATAATAAAATATAAGAATCCTGTACTAATTAAATCTTTTCAAAGTCCAAAACCATTTTCTTAAATATTTTTCATTTCAAATATCACTAGTATTTATTTAGTACTAAAAATAATATTATTTAAAAATATTTACTAAATATATCTTAATAAAATTTATTTAACTTAATGTTTTGTTATTTCAAAATAAGAATCAATTATACTAATATTATCTTTAATCCAAATATAAAAGTAGGCGTTATTAGTGGAGGTAAAACTGATTTAAAAAAAAAATCCAGACAATATCAAAGCTGATGAAGATGGAAACTTGTAATAAATTTAAATTCATTTGTATACTATTCTTTGTATCTCATTCGTATATATTCAATTGTATATTATTCTTTGTATCTCATTCATATGTATTCAAATATGTAATTTTTATATTTATTATGTAACATTGTATTATAAATATAACATGAATAATATACAATTGAATAGGACACAAGCGCTATGAGTCTTTCCATCCAGATTCTGTCTGTTATTAAACTCTTGATAAGCACGAGTGACACAAGTTTGTGTAACCGGATAGGATACAAGAACGAATTTATTAAAAATTTCCATATCAAGCTGTACATGGATACAATGATCAAAATTCAATTCCTTCCTTCTCAAATACCAAAAAAAAAAAAAAAAATTCATACCTAGTATGATACATAACAAGATGCAGCAGCCTCAAAGCTAGGGTTAAAAATTAAAAGCAGATATGATCTGTACTAGCGTGACACACACATATATATGATATGTATAGCCTGGTTTTTAAGTGGTTTTATTACTAGCTTGAAAAACTCATGAGTTCTATATGAGACAACTATGTACTAACTTATTATACAAGCTACCTAGAGTTCCAAATCTTATTCAGAAATAAAGAACCCCCTCCTCCCCCCCCCCCCCCCCCCCCCCCCCCCCAAAAAAAAAAAAAAGGAACATGTGTAATTAGTTCATTATATTACCAAAAAAGGTGAATCCACAGCTTTACTTTTCTTCAATATGAATCAGTTTTCCTATACATATTTAAAGTTCCCACATATTTAGAATTTTCAGATGTAAAAGGTATTGTGTTTAGTATTAGCTTATTAAAAGACTTCAATAATAAAAGACTGGAGTATTAGCTATATTCCCATATATATAAATATATATATATATATATCACTATCTTACCAAAAAATATATATATCACTATTGCTGTGATGATGGAGAAAGTTAGGAGCCGAGAGGTGTTAGCTAGCTAATATATACATATATATATATATATATACATAGGAACCAACAAACCAACCTTATCCATCAAGGCCAAGTTGTTGTCAAAATTCAAAATTCCATTACTCGAGATTGCCAAGCAACTGATATAAATATTGTGCTCAGAGAGACCTTAAAAAGCAAACGTTATGTACGTTTATGCCAAATCTAATCACTTAAACATTGACTCCAAACAGCAGATGCTTACTTTGCCAGAATCAAAGAACATCATTACAATTAATGTTTTAATGTTTTCATTTTTTTTTAATTTTGTTGCACTGTTGGTTGGCTCTGCACCAAACATCCCAAGCAAGTGTCATGCTTTCATGTCATACTTAAAGAAACAAGAATATTAAAAGAAAGAATATCTCTAATAACCTCAAAAAATCTCCCTCCTACCGATCAACAAAGCCTCTAGCAATCTCCCATCTTCCCTAACTTCTTTTCTGTGATTCTAATTATTCAAATTTTACATACCTTCACCGTACCTATAAATTTCCTACATTAAGCATATTATTTTTAACAAATTTGGGGTTCAAGATTAATATGAAGTACAAACATCGGTCTCTACAGCAACTAACTGGTATGATGACCACCCAAGCTTTACCTGGTCCTGGGCTTGAGGTGGCTCATGAACTTCTCCTGTTCAGTAAGTGCATGGCGAAAATGGCATCGATGGCCATAGGGACAGACATCACCAGCAAGGACCATTCTGCAAACCTCAGTCTTGTAGCAAGGGTGGCGGATTACAGGGCGGAGCTCTTCAATACCATGAGCAAACTGGCAGTGGTCACCGTATGGACAGGCACCAGTGTCTTGCCATTTGTTGCAGAGTTCAGTCTTGAACATGCCTTGGTTGTACACCTCCAGTTCAAGCGGCTCTTCCTCTTCCTTCCCTCCTTGCACGTACACCTTCTGCTGCACATTCACCTAAAAATATTAGTCAGCCCTTCCATTTTAAGAACTAAGAATAACAAGAATCAAATGTATTCCTGTTACTATTCGCATTTAGTATAATATTTTTATTAAATATTATACTAAATGCGAATGGTAATATAACTACTACGACAAATAAACATAGCTCTAGAAATAAAACATAGCAATCAGGAATTTACATCAACAACAGAGTAAGAATAATAAACTCACCTCTCCACTGAGTTGAGAGGCATTTCCAGGTCGAGTTGGTCCCGGAGTTTTTTCACCACGACGACTCGCAGCTGCGGCTTGAGTACTCATCATCTTCAGATATCCATTAGACCTAACAGATATGCTCTTAGGCAACATAAATCTCTCCACATCCACCGCACCATCCATCATGCTCGTCGGACTCTTATCAGAAACCTCTTCCTCTCCTACGCTGCCACCACCGAGACAAAGCCCTTGCAATGCATTCACCAACTCGAACGGCGTCGTGCTGTAATCAGACGATGCGAAGTGATTCTGAACAGAGGCTTGGATCAGTGCGCTGAGTTGCTTGTTGAGGTTACGGTTGACAAATCGCAAAGCGGTATTCTCTTGGCGTAGTGCCTCGTTTTCTTTTGCAGCTTCGTGGAGGCGCGTGAGGCAGAGGCTGTGGCGGTTGATCATATCTTGATGTTGTTGCATGAGGAGGCGGGGATGGTAGAAAGAGAAGAAAGTGGCGGCGGCAGCGGAGGAGGAGGTGGTGGAGGAAGAGTAAACTCCGTTGCTCTGGTGATCGTTTGGTTGTTTGGCTGCGAGGTCGCCATAGACAGTTGAACCGTTGTAGTTTAGCATTTGCGATGAAAGTACTGAAGCTTGAAAAAGCAGAAAACGATTAAAAATGCAGTGATATCGAACCAAAACACCAGAAAAAAGCAATTGAGTAAAATTCATTGAAATCGCGTAAATTTGACGATCACCTGAAACTTTGAAGAACACCCCTGATTTTTTCTTTGGCGCAGCGCGAGAGAGATTTCTTTTTGTATTGTTTGGAGAGACAGAAAAAGGGGGAGGAGGGAATTTGAGAAATGGACGATGAAGTGGAGTGGGTTTACAAAGAATTGGAGGGAAAAAGAGCGGGCCGAAGTGAAGCGTAAGAAAAAGAGAAAGAGTTCCGAAAACTATTAAAACAAACACATAACAGAATTACTCTTTGTCCACTTTTTCAATATTTTTACTGGCTTCGCCCCTTGATTTCATCCGTACCGAATCACCCTATTAAGGGCATATAAGTAATTTAGCTTGTCAATATTTTACGGTTTCCAAATTCGCTCTTTTTGAAGATGGTCAAGATATTTTGGACGGTGTACGAACATTTTGTGGAGATAACAATGACAGGAAGAAAGAGAGAGAGAGACAGTCCAGTTTACCTTTTTTTTTTTTTTCCTGTTTGTGAAATGTAAGTGTTATGTCCCGCACACAATTTGCAATTTTAAAAGGCACTCGCTGTGCATTGCAGCAATGCCCGATCCGTATTATCACCAAATGACGGAATTATCCTCCTGGTTTAACTGTATCTGCAGGATGCTCCATTTTTTCATCCTGAAGTTTTAATATTTATAATAATTTGATTAAATACTAATTTTTTTATAATTGAAGTTAACTGAGATGAGAGTGGTTTCTTGCATGGGGATTTTACAAAATTTTAAAGTCATCAATTAAAACATATATATTCCATTTGGGAAAAGGGAAGCCATCATTTATTTTAGGAGTTTGCTTCTCATTCGCAACTATAACTACCTCTTGTTTGTCCATCCATTTGTTCTTCTATCATATCTAATTTCAAAATGAATTTTTTCCAAAACAAAAAGCAATTCTTTCACAAATTAATTTTCCAATCCAAAACCCTTTTGGATTGTTGTCATGGTTGTTAAGTTAGCCATACATTTCTTCTCTATATAACCTAATTTGTAATTAAGATTTAAGGTTCTTTTTTATGTTCATTTGAGTTCGGCCTTTAGCTATTTGCCAACATAGTTGTTGTTGGAGATTTATTAGGCAAAGGCCTCTCGTTCTTATGAAATTTGTGACATCAGATAAAGATGATGGTTGTTTGTATTAAGTTGTCCTAAAAAGGTAAAACCCTGAGAACACAAGAGAGAAAAAAGGAATGGTTAACAACAAAAGCGGATCGTGATCTCAATTTTTATGGTCCAATGCTCAAGTTAGAGATCAACATTAGGATCAAAAAAGAAGGAAATAGTATGAAAGTGTATGGAAACAAGATAAATTAAAAGGCACTTGAATGGTGTTATTTATACCTATGAAATGGGAGGTCTTGGGTAGCTTAGGTTGCCCAAGGTCAGCCATAGGGAATTGAGTGGACCTAGTAGGTCTAAGTTAACAAGATAGTTAACTATCCACTCAAGATGTGACAAGTTAGCATCTTGGAAGGGTTTAGTATGTAGATTGCTAAGGTGGCCTTGCTTATGTGGACTCATAGATTTAGGTCAACTTGGCATGTCAACTTGTCTAAAATGACCAATGGACCATTGATTGTTAGTTGACTTACACTAAGAGGGAAAAAGTTTCTTTTGCCCTTTGGACCTAAAAATATCCCTAACATTTTGTTCCCCAATCAAGCAATCTGAAGTATCAAATTGATAACCATGAGGTGGGCCAATTTGTCCTTGAAAAGTCGAGCTATTAATTGAGCATGGGTTTTGAAAATTTTATTCGATAATTGTCCCAACCTTGTTTTGCCAAGGTAGTGAGCAATGAGTATTGACATACACAAGGTAGTAGTATTGTTTAGGTCACGGTGATGTTGCCAACATGCATTAATATGACTAACTCACGCTTGTAATATTTGTAATTTGTTCATTATCTCATGACTTTAAAGGTTGATTGACACTTGCTAATTTTCTTTGTAATAGGTCATGAGAAATATGATATGCTATGAGTGTACGACTGATGCAGTACAGTAGGTTCTACATAATGAGTTTTGCAATAAAATAACCGATATGCACCTTGTGCATATTCATTTGAATTTATATGTACTGAAAAAAGAGAAATTTTGGTAGTTAAATGAATCAAGGCTGAGAATATAAATGGTCATCCTTCATAACCATTATGGTAACATAGTTCAATCTGGGTGCATTTATCTAATTTGGGACTTTGGATCTTTATTACCCAATCTTCCAACTCTCAAGTCGACCAGATTTAATCGACCTCTAAAAATTCTAGCCTTTTTTCATTTGACCTTTTATTTTAAAAGTCTTTGATATGTTTCATTCTTTCATTACGTCTTGAGATTTTAGCATATTTGATAACTTTAAAGTATAAGTAAGGAAAGGTCAACTCAGCCATGAGGCTTTTTGTTTGGATGATTAGGTCTTTTCTGTCATTACAGGAAGGGACTATCGTCAAGCTACCAACTGGTTAAATTCGTTATTTACTGAAAGCAAAAATAGATTGAGGACAATGCCCAAGCAAGAGGGGAAAGGTTTATCATGGGATGAACGAGCTTTTGGCCATAGTTGATTTTGACCTCCCCACTAGCCATGGTCAATTCAATTCTTCTATTTGACCTTCTTTTCTCTTTCTTTGTTCCCTACAAACTATCCTTACCTATCTTATCCTTTTTGTCATTTCTTTTTTCCTAATGATCCAATAACTTGAGCTCAAAGTCTAGCTCTGGCTCATCTTCTAAGTCTGAAGAGTCTTTTCACTTTTTTTCATCTTTTGTTTCCTCTGATGTTGTAGAGATCCTAACTCTTATTCAATCTTAAAGGCCTGCTCCCTCTTTCAAAGTCGAGCAGCCAAGTAATAAGGCTTCTGTTGTCGAATATGCTCAAAGTTCTAAGTAGGTGAAGGGCTCCAACCAGGCTAAAAAAGAGGGAAAAGGTAATAAGAGGTAGAGGTCATTGACAATAATGATGATGAAGCCCTCACCTTTTTCTACATTCCTTACCCCTTTGGTATAATCTTAAAAGAAATGATGAAGAGCTTAAAAGGTAGAGTCAATCTTGAAAACTATCCCAATTTGTACTCGATTCATCATGTTTTTATAGTAAAGGTCAAATCTGACTTTCTTGTTAAGGGTACAGTATAATAGTGCTAACCTTCGATGACTATATTACCACTCCCTAGACTCTAACAAGATATGGGTGTATTGAGAGTCTATAGTGGCTAGCCTTAGGTTTTTTTTTAATTTTTTTTATAATAGAGCTTCTTTTATCTTATAATTTGACTATCACTTAGTTTATCCCAAATTTTTTTTGTATATAATAGGATTTATTATTCTTTGTAAAGAGCTAGGTTTAGTTCTTTTTATCCCTTTATTTAAAGAGTTTTTTTATGATGTAGAAGCACCTTCATGATAAAAGTTGGTTTTACGTGATTGCTCATCCCTCCAAAAGAATTTTTGCCAACTATTTAAGCTCAACAAGAAGTTGAAAGGTTTTCTTCCTTTGTATAGAGAAGATTGAGGAGGTTTAAGAAATAAATAATAGGCTCGGTATTTTTGAAAAAGCCAAAGTCAACCCTTTCTCAGCTTAATACCCCCTCAAAAGGGATAAAAATAATTAATCCACCAACTTCTTAAGGCTAGGTCGATGGTAAATGCCTTGTTGAGCTTTAGAAGCTCAAGTGAAAGAGCATGGCTCAAAGGCCTCAAAAGAGGTCAAAAATTGAGGCCTATCTTTCAAAGCCTATGGTCAAGCTCTAACATATCTTGGAAAGGGCTGCTATCAACATGGAGTGTTGCTCCATGAAAAATGCCTATGAAGACCTCGATATGGTAAAAAAGATCATGTAGGTCACCCTTTCTAAAAAAGGTTTACGTTTTTTAAATTTGATTTACTTTATAGTCTATTATTCATATTGTTTTGTTTAACTCAAAGCTTGGATTTTTATTTGTAGTTTCTAATCGACTCTTTACCTCCATCTCCCATGATACCGGTAGGGTCTAATGCACTGCTACCAAGCTTTGGTGCTATAAACTCTGATTTTATCCAAGCATATTTTAGCCAATTGTGATGCTTTTAAAGTCAAGCTCAGTTCATGTCCAACATTTCCTTAAGATTGATGAATTTTTAAAATTGAATTTTGGATTCAATTGACCCCAATGCCTCGTAGTCCAACTTGATCAAACACGATCAAACAAAGTCAAATTTGATCAAAATTGATCAAACTTTGTTGAACTTGGGTCAACCCTTGGAATTCACAACTGAATAGGATTATTAAGGCTTAGGATTAATAAAATTGTGATTTTGAGGCAATGAAAACCATGATTGCACCTCAAAAAGAATAAAATGACCAAAATACCCTTTAAGGATATTTTTGTAATTTGATCTTTTGAGATCATTTTTTTATGAAAAGCTTTATATTATACTTTGATATTATTTCATAAACTTTAATGCATTAAAAACCCTGATTGCACATCAAAAAGTTTAAAATTATTAAAATACCCTTTAGAGGTATTTTCGTAATTTGATCTTCTCGAGGTTAATTTTTTGTAAAAATGCTCCAAATCATGCTTTGATATTATTTCATGAATTTGATATATTAAAAACCTTGATGGCACCTTAAAAAGTTTGAAATTAACAAAATGCCTTCTAATGGTATTTTCATAATTTGACCTTTTTAATGTCAGTTTTTTGTGAAAAGCTCTAAATCATGTTTTGAATTTATTTTATGAATTTTGATGCATTAAAAGCCCTGATAACACCTCGAAAAGGTTGAAATGATCAAAATGCCCTTTAGTGATATTTTTTAATTTAACCTTTCCAAAGTTGGTTTTTCATGAAATGCTCCAGATCATGATTAAATATTATTTTATGAATTTTGATGTATTAAAATCACAAGAATAAATATTGGGTCATAAACTTTTAAGAAAATCATGCACTAATGGAAGCAAAATAGTCTTTTCCCATCAAGACAATTACACTAAAAGTAAAATTTTACGCTATATTCATTCTAAGCCATTGATCTTGCAAGGGTTTAAGTCTTAAGGTCAAAATTGGTTGCTTGATTATTAAGCTTAAAGGGAAGAGTGAGGATTATTTTATCCTTTGGATGGAACTTGATCAAAT